GGGAAAGAAATTAGAAGGAAAATGAAGGAAGATCTAGTCAACCTTCTCAAAGAAAATGTTGATCTTTTTGCATGGGAACCGATAAACAAGCCAGGATTAGATTCCTCAATAAAACTAATACTCTAGATGAGGATGAAGTTGGCTTTAAAGCTATCACAAGAACTCGAGAGGCGAGTTGATGAATATTTTAAGGCAAAATTTAGAAGAGAAGTCAAGTATACAACATGGCTTGCCAATGTTTTATTAGTAAAAAAAAGAAGTGAAAAATGTAAAAAATGTGAATTGATTGCACCAACCTTAAGAATTTCCCCAAAAAACTCATCCATTTTAGACATTAGTATAATTTATTTCATGGTTTATTAGGACATCAACTTGACATTCATTAATGCTTATTCTAGATATAATTTCCATTACACTTAGAAGATCAAGAGAGAAAAAACATGCTCGTGATAAAAAAAGTCAATTATTGTTATAAAGTCATTTCCTATGGGTTAAAATATGTTGAAGCAGATATATCAAAGGATGATGAATAAGATATTTGAAGATCAAATAGAAAGAAACTTGAAAGTTTACGTGGAGGGCATGACTAAAAAAAGCTCAACATAAGAAGGACTCATCTATGATTTAGCAAAAACTTTCAATTAGTTGAGGAAATATGTATGATGCTCAATCATGCTAAGTGTACCTTTAATATTTTGGTAGGAAAGATTTTGGAGGTATATGTTGTCAAATAGATTTATTGAATTGAATTGAACAAATGTCAAGAATTTTGGATGAGGGAAGTCCTCAAAATATGAAATAAATTAAAAATAAATAAATAACATGGCGTTTAACCTTTCTAGAAAGGTTTGTAAAAAAGTCGGTTGAAAAGGCTTTTTCATTCTTTAGACTATTAAGAAAGATCATCCTTTCAAATAGGTAAAGAATTTGATGAGGTTTCATTTGTGTAAAGCTAAAAGATCCTTCCTCCCCTTTGTGTTTTATTTATACCTATTTGTATAAAACAAAGACTGTGTTTAGTTAACCCTTGACACACCGTTAACTATGCTTTCCACCACACAAATATATTGTTACAAGTATTCTTTGATCCAAACATTTTTAGGCTCCACCATAAGTATTATTGGACTAGCTTCTCTAAGCAACTAAACAAATATGCTTTAAACATAAACATCTCCAAACTTCCACTGTTTTTTTTATTAAGAAAAGATTAATGGTAAAGTTTCCTAATTATTTCTTAGTAAAATAAAAGAACAAAATAAAGCTCAAATCAAGCAAGAGAATTGACAATAAAAAGCTTTTATCTTGATCTCTATATCACTGGTATTTATAAGTAAGCTTAAGATAGTAATACAAATGTACCTTTTTTTCATCTTTTAAGTTTGGCTAAGAAATATATGAATATTAAGGTATTAATTAGAATATTAAATATCTTTTACCAACTAATCACCTTTATAGCATAAAACATTATGTTTGTCTTCTTTTCTCATATTTGCATCCTGTTACAGAGAACAAAACTACTTTTGTCCACAAAGGTATGCTCTTGTACTTGCTTGGTAATTACGCATGTTCTTTTTTTATTTATAAAAGTTAAAATGCACAAATTAATTTTAATTTAAATGTGTAGTTTAAGCTTCTAATATTATTCTCTTATATATAAATACCTATTATAAAATTTATCCAAAATTAACTAAAACTATTAGAAGTAGATATCTTTCTGTATGGTATGCAATTATTGAAAAGAAAACCTACTTACAACATTAACCTTTGTCGTTTATTAACCATCTTTTTTTTTTGTTTCGTATTTGAACTTTATGCGAAAACTTTTCGAACTAGTAACATTCACAGTACTGTAAATAAATTAGTATAAGAAATATGGCACCCATGGTGTATAAAAATATTTTTTTTAAGGTGCATGTTTAATTAACGACCTACAAGCATTGAATCATTGGTCACCGGGATTCAAACAGGGAATGCTCGTTGTCCGTGGTCCCACTCCCATATCACTCGGAAGGGAACTAAGGGATGCTGTTGTGGGTCATTATCATCCATTACCAACTTCATTTTTTGGCAAAACCAGCATCACCCTCTCAATGAAACTAAGCTGCATGCTATCTCTTTCATGGTTGCTTTTCCTTCCCAACAAAATTTAAGGGTTATTTCTTGTGTGCTTGTGATCCTTAGTTTCATCTAGACATATCGATTTAAATACCCAAGTAACTAAAACAAAACTTTAGTTTATGGATAAGAAAATAAAATAATTTTAATTAGAGAAATAGTATATTACAAAGATTTAAAGTATTAGATAAATGTTGCATTTTTTTAATGTATTTTAATATTATTAATTAAATTAAAATTTCAAAATGATAATTTATATCAATATTTCATGCAAATAATTATTGCTCAAATTACACAAAATTAAAAAATCATTTTACAAACTTATTCTAAATAATTTATACTTGAATTTAATTTGCATATTCTGTTTTTATTCTCCCCAAATGTTCTTTTAGAAGCAACAATGTTTACAGATTCTCGAGCATTAAATATAAACATTAAAGGAACTTAGTTTGCCATAATAATAAAAAATCACACCGAATAAATCTTCAAAATATTATTACACTTGAGTAGGAGTATATATTGAAATTAAACTAAATTCAAAAAAACCACTACCTCAATAATAACACCCACATTTCCGAGGAAAAAAAACATCGTTTTCGGTCCAACTATCCATCTGCCACCTTTAAACCTAACCAGAAAACCCCAACAACGCATGCCATCTATCTAACTTCTCTTTCCACAAATTTTCTTTTTTTTGTTTTTCTTTTCAAATTTTCGCTTAAACGTTAAACCCAGCATTTCCCATTTGGCCCCTTCGTTGGTTTTTTCCGTTTCGCGAGTAAACGACAGAAAAGGCAACAGCAGCAACAACTCGTGTGGTGCAACTGCAACGATGATGGGTCTGAACAAGCTCGGAACTGCGATAACGGCGATAACGGCCGTCACTCTTTTGGCCCTAGCCGCGGAGATCGTGTACTTGCTGTGGCAACGCCGTGAGAGGCTCCGTCCGCGCGTGCGCGTGGAGCCGCAGGAGGCTTCGCTTCACCGCACTTCCTCTTCTTCTTCCTCCTCCGAGACCGATGACGTGGACCTCGAGCTCGAGCGACACGTGTTGAAGTGGCACTGCCTAAGTAACGGTCCCTCCAGAGTGCTCTTCACTATCAAGGAGGAAGAACGAGAAGAGGTTGAGTCCGACAACGGTAACGGTTCCTCCGCTGAGTCGTGTAACAAAAGAGCGAGGTTGAGTCAGCGCGTGGACGAGGTTACGGTCGCCGTTGAGCTGGTGGACGAAACGACGCCGTTTTCGACGCCGTGTGCTTCCCCTCCGTACTACACACCCCACGCTTCGCCGTGCCGTGAGGAGTGTCGTAAAGATCACGACGGTGGCAACGGAGGATGAGTGAGTGGTAACGCTTAAACGCCGTCTCTGTCACACCCACTTGGTTGTTATGGTTAAGTTAAACACAACCACCTCGTATGTAATGAAAACGTATCAACATGTAGAATGTTAAGATTAGTTTAGATTAGGGTTAGATTTAGATGAGGGAGTGATTCATGGATTATTATCGATCAATGGAAGTGGAAGTGGAAGGGAAAGTGCTTACCACTATTACTCAACTGTGTTTCAATTGCGGGGTCACTAATTCATTAATGTTACTGCTTGCATTCATTGTTTCTCCACAAATTCAAAGTCATTGGTAAGATGGAGAAAATAGTGGATGTTAGTAAAATTTACTATATATTACTGCTACTTACCAAATTAATCTATCTGCAAATTAAATACTGGCTTAGATTTATGTATAGCTTCTTTTTTAATTCACTTTATATCTATCGTAGTCTTAGTAACACTTTTTTTTAACATATTCTTCTTGATATATTTGTTTTTATAGGTTAGAATTTATTTAAAATTATGAAATTAAGAGAATGGGTTATTGACATAGATTTGAGTTCACCAAATTTTTCAACTAATTAATGAGGGTGCATTTGAAAAGAGTGTGTTGTATTTTTTTGGCTAAGTATGACATGATTTTGTTCTTATGGTTTTAATTGCGACAGATGAATTTGCAATTTTTTTATGAATAAAGTGTTAAAAACCCAATTGACGTAATTAAAATATAAAAAGACCACAATCACGCAATCATAGTAGTACTGAATTTTGAGTTAAAGGGTGACACAACTGAACGGTCACGTCCTTCTTGCTTTTTCTCTTTCTCTCGATCAATTCATTGCCCTTTATTAAAAGCATCGTACGCTTTTTCTTTTCCTTTTGGTGTTTGTTTTTGTTTTTAGTTTAAACTGTTTTATGTCTTTTGCGACAACTGTTTTCGCTTTAAAGCATCGTTAATGCTATCCCAGTCCAGCCAGTAAGTGGGCTTCTGCCTCACCCTTTTTGGGCTTGAAAACACTGCTTTTCATTGGGCAATTGCTTTAAGTATTCTCCTTTGGGTCGTAAGATTCACTCACGGCTAATGATATATACACCTCTTTTTTTTTTTTTTTTTTTTTTTTTTTTTTTTTTTTATAAGTACACTTTTTTTTTTAAATCTTAAAATATCCATAATTTTTTTTTATTTTTAAAATTTTTAATTTTACATCTCTAACTTTCAATTTACTATTTTTTCTTTTCACACACTTCCCTCTTTCTCTTTTTTAGTTTTCACATGTACCATCTTGACTCCCTCTAATTCCTCACCTATTTTAGTAGGTAGTTTTAGTTCTCTCAATTTTTATATTACTCTTTTATTTTCTCACTTCTTTCACTTTTTCACATGCACCAAAATCATAGAACTGGTAGGCAACAACATTGTAGGTACGTGTAGCTTCATCGACAATTTCTATTAAATTAGACACCCATTTTTTCTTCCAATAATTCCTTTCCTTTCACCCCTCCAAAAATTTTAACATTAAGTTTAGTGTTATAAAAAAGGAATTTTCACTATTCTAGAGTATTATACAGATAGTGAAATCAGTGAAAAAACCAAAAAAAGAAGGAAAAAAAGAATAATTTAAAATAAAATATATAAAATTACCTATCAAAATAGATGGGGTGAAGAAAAATTAAGAGGGTGTATATGAAAATAAGGGAAAGTGATATGTAAAAAAAAGTGTTAAATTAACTATTAGAAGTGTAAAATTAAAAAATTAAAAATAATAAAAATTAAGGATATTTTAAGAATTTAATTTAAAAAAAAAAAAGGGGTGTACTTATTATTAAAAAGGAGGTGTATATATCATGATCCTTCACTCACCTGTGTAATTTCCCCGCCTTTCCGTTGTGATAATTTTTTTTTAAAAAAAATGTAATGAAAAAATACTTATTTTAATTGAGTTAATTTTTTCAAAAGAATAGTTAATGCAATAGAAACAAGTTTTAACTATATTAGATTTGATAATGGTAAAATTTAACAATGGTAACAAGTATCCTTTTCGCTTTTTCTTTTAAAAAGTTAACACAATGAACTCCCTTGAGATTATTGTAATGAAAAAATGCAACTAAACAATAGTATTAGATACTAAGGCCCTCCTCATTGCTGCATACTTCTAATGAAGTTTTTGCACTTACGTTTTTTGTGTTTTACAAACTAAATATGCCAATATTTGACATCATCATTTTTAAATCTAATTAATTTTTTAATGTTTATTATTTCTATATTTTTTGTTTTGCTAGTTTAGGTGTTCTTTTGTTGTGCATGGGCTTTGCTTCTAGAAAGGAGGTGGAGATATTTTGCTTTCAACTTACGGCCCAAAGTGTACTATATCTTGGCAGATGTTAAACACACCTCCACTCTCGTATCAACACACCCTCTTTTTTAAAAAAAATATATAAAATGTCTAAATTACCCTTTAAAAAAAATGAAATTCCTAAATTTACACCTCCTTTCCCCGCACCCCCTTATCCTGTATAAGCATGTAAACTTTAGTCTGGAACGACACCAGAACGGGCCGTTCTGCAAGAAGAATGGCCCGTTCTGCAAGCAGTACGGGCCGTTCTGCTTGCAGAACAGGCCGTTCTGGGGCCGTTCTGTTGCAGTACAGGCTACCGCGTCACTTTTAAAATGGCTACTTTATGACAGATTTTAAAACTCCGATTTTAAAAGTCATTTTTGTACTAGTGTTTCTTTCCATAGAACAAGTAAGAGTCTTTCTCTTTGTGGCACTCCTCTTCTTTTTTTTTTCCCGCACCTCGCACACCCCTCTTCTTTCTCTTTCTGGCACTCCTCTTCTTCTTCTTCTTACTGTTACGGAAAGTTCTTTCCGGAATTATATAAAAATGTTCCGGAAAATACTTTCTATAATATTAAATTCTTATTCCGGAAAGTATTTTCCGGAAATGTTTTGTTACATAATTCCGGAAAGTACTTTCCATAATATTAAAGTTACTATTACGGAAAGTTCTTTCCGGAATTATATGAACAATAATTTTACTATTCTGGAAAGTACTTTCCGGAATGCTAATGACTGTAAAAGTACTTTCCGGAATGCTAATGATTGTAAAAGAGCCTTTCTTATGCTGGTTATGGTGGGGCTAGTCCTTTTTTTCTATTCAGAATGACTGTAAAAGTATATTACTTAATGACATTGAGCGGAAAGAGACTTTGGGAAGAAGAGGGGTGTGGAGTGTGGGGTGCGGGGAAGGGAGGTGTAAATTTAGGAATTTCATTTTTTTAAAGGATAATTTAGATATTTTATATATATTTTTTTTAAAAAGGGAGTGTATTTATACGAGAGTGGAGGTGTGTTTATCATCAGCCCTATATCTTTCTTATATTTTTCTTACATGTGAAGTCCAGCGAGTAAGTGGGCTTCTATTGAATATTTTTCTTATATTTTTTTTTTTTGGATAAATCAAATTGAAGTTATGATACTATATCTCTCGAAAAAACTATCGTTTTGTTACCTTTATTTGGACATACATGTAATTGGAACCTCATTAAAGTTATTAATTTGAAATGTATTTGATATTGTTATTTTTAGTCATCTATCATCAAAGTTGAAGGTTTGCTATTGTGATTTTTTTTTTTTAGTTCAAAATGAGGCCACCTTGTATTATCGATTAATGAATTAACCGTCTTGGGAATAGTAATAGTGATTTGAAGGTTTAATATATTGTGAGTGCTCACATAAAATGTAATTTAAAAATATTTTGTAAATTCATAAAAAATGGTTAAAAATAATGTCAAATATATTTTTTAATTATTAAAAATTACATAATATTAATATTATTTTAATTATTAAAAATTATTTAACATTTTTTTGAGTTATTAAAAATTACTAATGTTTATTTTTTTTATAAAATTTAATATTAAAAGTTTTATCTTTTGAAAATAAATATTTAAAGATGAAATTTTGCTTAGATAAAATTTGAAATATTGTATCCAAACAAAGTAATTGAAATAAAATAAAAATTAGAATATTCTATCTAAAGAAAATAATTAGAAAATAAAGGGAACGTAATTCATATTTCAAGAATATAAAATTTCTTAAATTTATAAGTAGATCAATAATAGTTCAAACTTTAAAATGACTTAAAAGGTGAAAAACAATAACATAGAACTTAGAAGGTTGGAAAGTCAGTAACTCATTTTCATTCGAAACTGAGGACTACCAAGTAGAGGAAGCTTGCTTGTTAATTGTAAGTTTTCTGCCTCTTACCTCTGTTTCTGTTTCTCTTTGTTGTTGTCATTGATATCCTTACTGGTGTTGTTGTTGTGCCGCACTCTCAAATGCATTGGTTGCGCGGTAAATGGTGATGAATTTGTGATTTTGGCTTGAATTGCTTGATTTTGGTTTATCGCTGTGGTGAATCTGGAATTTGTGGTTAACACATCAACCCATAAGAATGAAACCTAGCCAATTCTTTTAATATAATTTTTTACTTAGTGCTGCAAACTAACGTGGCATGGAAAAAGAATGGAATGAGAGGTGGATTTGGCACGTGGGCCTTTGGGCTTTGTGGCCTTTAATGAAAATTTCAAATGGCCTTTAGAGATTAGACATGTCAATCTCCTCCGTATTGTATGGGCTGTTAGCAAATATAAGTTTCTAATTTAGAATTTCAGTGGATCATGGGCCTAATATCATGAATCTCTAATATTTTAATTTTATATTAAATTATTATTATTAATGTAGCATTGAACCATTGAACCCTGTGCGGCTGTGCCCTACTCCAAATTGCTTTCACTTGCCCAAAAGATAAGAACTGGGTTACGTGCACATGCATCTCTATTTTAATTTCATTTTCGAACAAAATTCAAGTTTTCTAAAGCATGTTCATAGGTATAAATTAAATGGTATTAAATGTATTTTCTTTATTTTCTAATCAGTAGGGTTGAGATATTTTGTGTCACTATTAAAAATAAAAATTAAATAATAAAAATATATTAATCTAGTTGGTGTTATGATTAATCCATTAGTTTTAATTTCTTAAATTTGATTAAAAAAATAATATTTTTTAAATTTTTTAAAATAAAAGGGTATAATGGTCAAAAAAATGTAGAGACCAAAATGGTTATCGAAAAGCGTATCTCCTTTATATATTAGTATAAATGTGAATGATTATTAGAACATTTTGTAATATTTTTACATATAATAATATGTTTAGCCTAATTATATGTATATCAATATTAAG